AGAAAAATAACTTTTCAAAATATGCTTTTTCAAACTTTCAACACCAACAAATATCTTTCACCATTGTAGATGGATATTATGAACCACTTTTGTCACCTTAAAGTCTTTTGTATGAAGAACTCCATTCTCAATATGTAATCGTAAAATCATATAGAAGCTTCTAAGCATTCATATACAAGCTTATAAGCATTTGAATTCTTAAAAAATAATACTTATATACAATGTTTAACTCGAAAAATTTATTTTTAAAAGTCAATAAAATGTTAATTGATTGAACCTTGTTGCAGGCTAGAACATTCATGGTAGTAAATTTAAATAGTTTACTATCTTAGTATTATACGAAGATCGAACACACGTGGGTAAGAGAAGAGTTACAAGAGGCACCAGTGTTTTTTATGTGAACACTCAAAATGAAAAAAAAAAAACACGGGCCTGACCTAATTAAAATATTTTGTCAGTGTTTGTCATTGGTTATAAATGATGCTCTTTCTTGTGATCGATTAGGAAAAGTGTTAATACAATATACTATATATAAATGATACATAATATATTTAATGACAAATGTAGGAAGATTCATATAGAATGAGAGTTATCTTCAAATGAATGATTGCTTCTTCTTTTTTTTAGTTCTCATTGGGGTGGGGGGATTAAAGAATAAGAGGTTTTACATAAATCTTTCTGTAGATGTTGGGAGTTAGAGATGGTGTCGATGACATGCATAAGCCTTATGGGAAATGTTATAAATTGTCTTTGTTGGCAATGACAAGTGATGAAGTTAGTGGGCATCAATACTTCGAGGATTATAGTCAAGTGGCCATGATTAGAGGACCATATTCGAGCGATGGTGGTTATCTTCAAAAGATTGTTTGTTTTTTTTTATTCTCCTTTGAGAAGGGGAAATCAAAGAACAAAATTCCAACATAAATTAATCTTGGTGCTGATGTTATGTCAAGCCCCAACCCAACTTAACCCATAATAGTAACATGTTAATTGGATTGGAGGTGAACGCAAAATCCTACTCAAAACCTATTGGAAAGAATTGTATGTTTTGCCTTCTAATATCTTACCAAAGCTATTATTATCACTCAGTAATATATATATATATATATATATATATATATACCACCTTACTTGTTGGAAAATATGCACATATATATTGTAACTCAAAAGAATCATATACATAAGTCATTAACTAGTTCATCCCAAAATCATAATACTCTTTCCAATCATGACTAGGAAGTAATACATAAAAGAAAATAACTAAACCTGAGATCTAAGTCAGCCTCACTCCACTAGATTCTTACCTTGACCAAAAATCATAAAATCACATAATGAGCTCAAGAGCCCAATAGGTCACCAAATCCTACATCTAGAATTAATGCACAAATATAAAAAATTATGCATGTAATCATTCATTTCATGTGAGAATAGACATGCCAAATCAATAGAAATCATGAGCATGTCAAGAATCTAAATCATGATTTCAATAGAAAATTTTACATTGTTATATTTATATTAAATGATATATTATTGTACTTTACCATGAATAAGAACATGTGTTGTATGTATCTATTTCATGTCATACTTTATCAATTACAATGTGCCATGCATGTATTCTTAGATATTATATAATTGTATCAATCTATTATATCATCCATGTGATTATGCATATATCGTATCATAATATACCGTTGTCTCCTAGTATGAGAATTTCTATCATGTATGAAATCACATCTTCATTATCTTACTAAATGTATTAATCATAAGATGATTTCGAGAGGATTTGATGGTTGTAATTAGGTAGTGGTCCAACAAAGGCAATCGAGTAAAGTTTGGATGGGCTCGAAGATTCTTCAAACCTCTAAGTTCTCTTGTATCTCAAGTCAAGATTCAAGCCCCACTTCATATGAGTGGAGGCCTATTTATAAATACTTGAGAGTAGTATGATATGTAAATATAGTCAAGATATGAAATACTCCATCGAATGCCAATATTGATTCCCTCCATAGACTGTTATTTTAGCATTTAAATACCTTAATAATATTAGAATTAGATGATTTTATGCTCATTGGATTTGTCTCATCAATATGCTTTATTTGACTATAACTATGTGAGGTTTGTAAATCATTTGATCCTCCAATCACTATAGTAAAAATAACAATTTCTGACAGATTTGTTGGCAGAATATTATTTGTCAGAAATACCGACAAAAATACTAGTAGATAGGGTGCCGATTTATTTGTCTTTCTAGCAGATTTCTAGTGGAAACTTTCGCCATTGAAGGCCCTTATTTTTACCATTTCATCCCTTCCTCCACCAATTCACGTGAAATAGACTTCAAAAGTCTATTTTCATGTGAAAATGGAGCCGCATACTGCTCCTTAGTCTCGATCATCATCACGCACCATTCTCTATTCTCGAATGAATTTAACTCCGTTCATGGACACATTCCTCTTGAAGTTCATGATTCCTTAGTCGATCATCTCTTCTCATCATTGACGAACACATTTTTTAAGGTTCCAATATCATTTTACATTTTCTAAGGTTTTAAAAAATATTCTTCTTCCAGTTATTGGTTCAAGCTAGTTATTTCTGTTGTTATCGACATACTTCCTTTAGTTCAACTTAATACCTCTTAAGGATTTTTAAGAGGCCCTATTTCTACCATTACGTCCCTTCGTCTGCTTGGGAGCAGTTTGACGACAAATAGCCTGCAATGCCCAATGAGAATGAGGAGACTGAGTCAGAGTAAAATATTTTTTACTGTATTTTTTTGTTGTGGTAATGTTTAAGAACTGTTGGCTTATTGTAGAATAATTCACTTTTGCTTGTACATTACCATGTTTGATCATCATATAATGAATTATGAATGAGTTTATTGTGGGAATATTTAAATATTTTATCAAATTTAGCTCTTTTATGTGTTTCATACTTGCTTTATGAATTATTATACAATAATTAATAGGAGAATGTATTTTTTTCTGTATGTTATAGGTTTACATTAGATTTTTCACCGAAAATTTGATACGATGAATTTTGGGTGAAAAACCGACAAATTTTTTGTCAAAAATACTAGGGGAACATTTCGTCAGAGATCCATCGGTAAGATTTTCAATGGAAAAAAAATCAGTTACAATGGCTTTTACGAGTCATTTTAACGATGGTAATATATATTACACTGGAAATCTACTGAAAACTCCATTTTCCAACATAATTACTAGTTATTCCAACAGATAATTCCACCACAAAAAAAGAGAATTCCTATAGTAGTGAACGTCTCAATGTTTTCAATTATGCTTCAAGTACTTAATTTAAGCCCATTTGGATTTAGTGTCGATGGGCTACTCTAGTCGAGTAGTTTGACGATAAATATGTTGAAATCAAAGTTCAAATAATCTTGAGTTTAAATAAAAAGTTTTCTAGTTTAAATTTACATCGAAATTCATTCCCTGTCCAATCATATATCGACTTATAAACTTAGTCCCAAAGTTTTCAATTATGCTTCTCTGTTCTCGAATGAATTTAACTCCGTTCATGGACACATTCCTCTTGAAGTTCATGATTCCTTAGTCGATCATCTCTTCTCATCATTGGCGAATACATTTTTTAAGAGAGAAGAGAAGAAAAAGTTTTTTTATGATTGTGGAGAGCTATCTTGACATAGTGCAAGCATGATGGTGCCAAAAATTATTTTGGTATGTCTATATCTATAGTAGAAGGTATTATTTTAAAGAGCTTAAAGAGGACAATGTATGGTGTTATTTAAGTTTTATTTGTTTATTACCTTTCATGTGTTGTTGTTTCTTTTACTTGGCTTGAGAGATTTGGGTTTTTTTTTTTTTTGGTGAAATTGAATGCTCTTAAATTTGAGGAAGGGTGTGTTCTTTTATTTTATTTTTATTTGTACATTTATAAGGCTTATTCATGGTGAATTGGTGTTTCTCTCCTCTCCTTCGAACATAAATTTATTTTTATTGAAGCATGTAAATTTTAATGTTTTTTTTTCTAATTTTTTTTTCTTTTTTATTATTTTATGTGTTAATCATAATATTCATTTATGGTAGATGTCTACACATAAAATTTAGATTGTTTTCAAACTATATGTTTGTTTGACAATCTTTCGGAATTAAGCCCATCATCGGCCTTGAATTTCTCCCTACAAAGATGACTAATTATTCAGTGCGGACACCGTATGAAGAGAACCGTCCGGATTTGTTGCGCTTTTATTGTCTTTTTGTTATGCTTTTGCAAAAGGGCAGTATAAGTGCAGCAAATATTTAATATTTATTAAATAATTGAATATTTGTTGTGCTTTTATTGAGTATTTGCAAAAGCACGGCCAAAAGACAGTAAAAACGCATGCATAATTGAATATTTGTTGCCTTTTTGTAAAAGCGCAATGGTAGTAAAAGCATAACAAATCCGGACGATTCTCTCCATCCGGTGTCTGTACAAAATAATTTCTCCTACTTGAAAATATTCTTCAACTGTAGCATGTACATGAGCTTACTGCTCATTTCCTTATTCCTAGTGTTATCCCAATTATATAAGTTTAGCTAAGTGAGAACTCTTTTCTTAATTCAAAAAAAAAAAAAATCGACTTATAAACTTAAAAAAAAAAAAAAA